AACAGAGCATATAAATAGAGAACCTTTTCCAATCAGTAGGGTACGGAAAGGAAATTCCTAGAAGCTTTTCTTCTTCAGCTACATTACTTCGGCTCTGCCCATCAGGACCAAAATTTGTAAGTTCCTAAACTTTCTCCTTCCTTCTTCTGGGAATTTTTTTAGAGCTTTTTTGTCAGCTAAAAATTATGGGTTTTGCTTTAGTATTTTTTTCCCTGATGGGTTTTGATTTTTTTTTTTTTGGGTTTGGTATGAATAATATGACGTTTTGCTCTGTTCTTTTTAGTACTCTGCTTTAAGAACAGCTCCCCTGTTTTTTTTTTCTCAATTAGTGCTGAGTTTTGTCTCTATTGCTTTTCTCAGTTGCAAGACATGGATAACATACAAGATATCACACAAGCGATACACGAATTGAAATTTGAAGCGATGGCACATTCTTTTCCTGAGGAAATCATACAAGAGATCCTAATTAGGCTATCCGTTAAATCTCTGATCAAATGCACTTCAGTCTGCAAGGCATGGAGGTCCATGATCATAAACCAAAGCTTTATTCATGCCCACCTCAACCCAACAGTGGACTTTGCTAACCAGAATGACATTGACCTCCTCCTACTCCACAGAATTTCTGGTAGCAATAGCCTCAACTACCACCAAAACACGGTCGTTCACAAGGTGAAAGACGAGGTTCACTCTGTGCATCATGATAACCAGGCGTTTGATGTGTACTCCAAGATCGAATTTCCAATTGCCGCAAAGAAAAACTACGGCAATTCACATCTTCGTGTGGTTGGCACTTGTGATGGGCTAATTTGCCTTGCGGATGATGTCCCCTCTTATGCTTACAACTTCATTATATGGAACCCAACCATTAAAAAGTCAGTGACCCTTCCCATGCCTGGTATTACCTTTCAGACGCATGGTGGGTACGATGCTTCTATTGGGTTCGGTTTTGATGCTACAACCAATGACTATAAGGTTGTGCGAGTTGTGACTTTATTGGATTACTATGATGAGAAGTCAACTCTAGCTGAGGTTTATTCCCTAGCCACCGGCACATGGATGAGTCTTGGTTGTGTTTCTCCTGCATGTCTAATAGATAAAGCTGCATCCAGTGCTTTTGTTAATGGGGTTCTTCATTGGCCTGTAGCCTGTCAGACAGATGTTGAATCTTACTATATTATATTGACATTTGATCTAGGCAAGGAGGTGTTCGGTCAGATACCTATGCCGAAGATTATTCAACGGGATTACTATTTGGGATTGCAATTGTCTGTTTCAGATAACAAAAAATCTATTGCTTTGTTCATGAGGCCCAACAATCGTGAAGATTTCTATAGGGATTATGGGCGTAAAGATTCTGTTCTTGATATATGGGTGATGAAAGAGTATGGGAGAGAGGAATCATGGACCAAACTGATTACTCTCAATCCACATGGTCCAGAAACAATTTTCCTCAGCGCCTTATGTTTTAGGAAGAGTGGGGAATTACTGTTACTGCTCAAAGAAAAAGAGAGGCAGGAACTGGTATCACTAGACCTTGTGAGGAAACAGCTTAAACTTATTGGGATTTCTGGATATAAATATTGTACTTGTCATTTTTATAAAGAGAGCCTCCTCTTACTCGACAAGAGCGATGCAGAGTCATACTAAGAGAAAGAACAGGTAATGTGATTATTGTGCTGAGAGCAGAACATTTCAATTCTTTAGTTATTTTCATTAAAAGCATGATTGGTGACTAAATTGCTGTGGGATATTTCTTATGTCAGACTTCTTGTGGGTTCTTTCTTTTAGCTGATTGTCTTTCTCGCTTCTGTTGGTAGAACACAACTTGTGACTAAAGTCAACACAGCTCTCATAGAGACTCAATTTGGATATCAAAAAGTTAAAAACAGTATAATTATAATTTTTAATAACATCGACTAAGATCTCATATAAACACGATTAGACTGGTCTTTTATGTACTCTTAGTCTTAGTCAACTTGGTATGACTTTAGACATTGGACTGATTGCTGCTTCTGTAGTGAAGTCTGTGTATTCAGTTTGCATGGTTTTGTTTGCTGCTTTAATCCCTTTTCCAATGTTTTCATTTTTACATTAGTTTCTTTTCCAATTTAGCTTTCATTTGTGTAAGCATGAAGAGGAAGTTTGATTTGCACTCCTGAAGAAGTACTGGGAAAAGTTTTCATGACAAGTGATGTCAACTCTAATGCATAACAATTGATTAACGCAGCACTTTTCTTGTTTTCATTTGTTGCAGATTTGTAGTGCAGTAACATTGTTTGCCGAAGGTGCCTGATGTGCCTGATGCCTGATGTGCGTCAACGTCCGTTTCTTGCTATCTATCTTGCTGATTTATTTTTGTTTTCTTGTTCATTTTTTTGCCGATTTGTAGGCTAGTAGCGTCCTATGCCTGAGGTGCTTGATGTTTCTGTGTATTTACTTGGCATGGAACTTGTTATCTAGTAGTTCTTGCCCTATTTATTCTTCAGCTTTTGGGAAGCTTTAATGGAAGTGTCTAGTTACAAATTTCATTTGCCTTTGCAGTTCTCTGCACCAGTTCCCGTGAAATGCTTTCGCAATTTTCTTTTCCATTTTTATTGCATAGTTTTCCCTGAGCTGAACACTTTACAGCAGAATTCACTTTTAATTAAGTAATGAAGGTGATTTGAAATTGTACCCTGCTCTAGTCAACTGCATGCCTGCAACATATGATGGTTGTCTATTTTTGCAATTGCATTCGTTTGAAGACCATTTTTGCAACACTAAACTCAACCCCCATTCAACATTCGACTCAATAATAAGGATTTTTAAATTTCATTAAAATTCCCAGAAGCTCGGACAAAGCACCTTGTTTCAGAGGCTAGAGCTGTTTCAGCATTTGAATTAAGAACTAGTCTGCTATAAGAACATTTTAATTAGGAGTTGAAATCTCTTTTACAGTTTTTTATTGAATGATTTTCCTATAGGGATTTAATTAGGAGTGGAAATCAACTGGATACCATATGCTTGAAACTATAGTCAAAACAAGGCAACATCAAGCATGTAATAATATACCAAATGCTAACCTATATCAAAGGTTTATTCGAACTTCAAAACTAAGTACTAATTGTATGACGGAGGAATTAGACCCATAACTACAATACAACAAGCCGATTAAGTACAAAAATCCCTATTAACCTCCACATCCACCTCCGCAACCACCTCAACAACCACCACCACTAGTGACACTACTAGATGCACACTATGTGTAACAACCCGATCCTAAATTAATAGTTAATATTAATTTATTCCAGTAAAAGACCACTATACTCCTAGAATATTTTAATGGTTTAAAAGTTAACTTTTTATTCGGGAAGGAAGTTGGGGATTTCAGTTATATCTGCATAGAGCGTAGCGAGACGAGTCTGTAGACATGTAGTGGACTCAAATCGGAGTTGTAAAGAAGAAACGGTGATCAAAAGAAGTTCAGTGGCATAACCGTAAATATTTCGAAGTTCAATTAGTTTTAAACCCAGAATTTCTGCATTTTGGGGGGGGCTCGAGCAGCCGACTTCGGGAGGTGTTTTCTCTCAACTCCGACCCCCAATTCGAGCAAAACCAGTCCCGTTAGAACCACCAAATTTCCCTCTTCCAGCTCTTTATGGCCCCGATCCACCGCCGTAGTCGCCGGAAACAGCCAAGAAACAGGCGGTGTTGGACAGTTTTTCGTAAACTTTCGCTGCTCGTTTTCCGTCATCCGGCCACTATTTCCAGTGATCCAGGTATGAAAACTCATCTTTTTCTCTAGCCCTAGCTGCTGGTTGGGTAGGATTTCAGAAATTTCTAGTGTAGATAACTCGATCTTGGATCCAAAGTTCAGCTGGATTTCGGGTTGAGATTCCGGCCGCTTTCGGCCAGTTTTTGGGGTAGGTTCAAGAACAAAAGTGGTTCCAAATAGGGTGTTACACATAGGGTAGGAGTCTTGAGCCGTGATTTGGAGTTTTTCTGGTGAAGCATTATCGCTTTAGGCACCACGCTCTGCCGGCGCGTGTGGTGGTGCGTGGGCAGTAGGGTGGGGACCACAATAATTTCTAGAATAACCCCTTAGTCCTCACGAGCGCATAGGATTTCTCTGATCTTAATTTGAATAACGTCTGAACCTCGAACGGATCTTGTCTAGTGTGTGATTTCCAGGTTTAGCAGGTTTGAGCCGTTGGATCATAATCATGTTCAAGTATGTTGATCTAAGTAATTCCAGGATTGTATAATATTTTACAGATCGTAAAATGGAGTCCCGAATACTCCAGGAATTTCAGCCCTAGAGCGAGATTTATAGTAAACAAACCAGTTGCATATCAGGAACAGAGGAAGAAACTATGTGTGGCTTGATCCCTCAGTAAGGGTACGTAGGCAGCCTACAATTAGCAGGTGCAGCCACGAGTTAAGGCCTTAGAGTTTGTGTTATTGTTTTTCAGGGCATTTTGGTCATTTGTGACACCCACCAAGTGTCATTTTTAAATAAGGTTCGGCCCGGATTCCAAAGTGAAATTTGGGTCAGGTCGTTTCACTATATATGAACAACGTCCAAGCATATAATCTGGTTTCATTTCTCTTAACAGTTTTACCAGCATGATGATATACTGGAGGAAGAATAAGCTAGCTATTTGGTACATTGAGAGGCAATTTGTAACTTTTTTTTCTCCTTTCTGATGGATTTGGATTGGATTTTAGTACTTTTAATTTTCCGACTAAAAATTGTATATGAACGTTACTCTGCTATAAGAACAGCTCCCTTGATATTTTGTTGTCTCAATTATAGCAGAGTTTTGTCTCCATTGCTTTTCTCAGTTGGTACTATTTGAATGTGCAAGACATTGATAACATAAAAAATGTCAGACAAGGGATCAAATTGAAAATCGAAGCGATCACATGCTCTTTTCCTCAGGAAATCACACAAGAGATCCTAATTAGGCTACCCATTAAATCTCTGATCAAATGTACTTCAGTCTGCAGGACAGGAGTCCATGATCATAAACCGAAGCTTTATTCAAGCCCACCTCAGCCCAACAGTGGACTTTGCTAACCAGAATGGCATTCACCTCCTCCTACTCCACATAATTTCTGGTAGCTGTAGCCTCACCTACTACCAAACCAAGGTCATTCACAAGGTAAAAGACGAGGTTTACTCTGTGCATCATGATAACCAGGCGTGTGATGTGTACGCCAAGATCGAATTTCCAATTGCTGCAAAGAAAAACTTTGGGAATTCACATCTTTGCGTGGTTGGCACTTGTGACGGGCTAATTTTCCTTGCAGATGATATCCCCTCTTATGCTTACAACTTCTTTATATGGAACCCAACCATTAGAAAGTTGGTGACCCTTCCCAGGCCTAGTATTACCTTTCGGTCGCATGGTATGAACAATGCTTCTCTTGGGTTTGGTTTTGATGCTATGACCAATGACTATAAGGTTGTGCGAGTTGTGACTTTATTGGAGGAAGATGAGCAGCCAACTACAACTCTAGCTGAGGTTTATTCCCTAGCCACGGGCACATGGAGCAATCTTGGTTGCAAAAACTGCAGCAGACGAAGAAGAAGCTTTAACAGAGCCATCAAAGTTCATCTTGAGAAATGAGGGCTTGGGCGGAAGCCATCTAATTGGAGTAGCTTGGCCACGAGATCTCCTTGAATAGTAGTTGATACAGAAACTGTGATATGAGCATTGTAGTTAGTTAAACAATTCATTAAGCAATCCTAAAAAGAACCTCCTTGGCCAATAATTCTCAACACAGCGCCAAACAGAAGCTGCAAAAGGGCAATGCATGAAAAAGTACGAATGAAATTTCTACGTGTTTTATTCGGCAAAATTTGTGAAAAGTATAAATGAAAAGTTCGGCAAAATATACAAGCTACAGAAGAAAGAGGGGTCAAAATAGAAATAAGACTTCATTATGGCGATAAAAAGAAATTTCTGCATAAATTGTTCCCGGGAAAGCTTTTCCAATTCGTAAACCACCAGATCAACCAGAGATCAACCTTATTCAAGCTTTTAATCAGGGACGGAGATATAAATAGAGAAGAGAGATGCATTAGGGTTTCAGCCGACGCGTTGCTTCTTCCACACTATCATGTACGGAAATAAATGTCCTAGAGGCTAGAAAGGGTTTTACTCCTTTCTTCTTCACTCTTCTTCTCTAACGTCAGCTCCATTTCTTCGGCTCTGCTCATCATCAGGACCAAAAATTGTAAGTTCCTAAAGTTTCTCTTTCCTTTTTCTGTCAATTTCGAAAAATCGGCTCCTAGGCGCTAGGCGGCCGCTGGGTTTGATTTGAAAATTATGACGTTTGACGTTTGGGGTACTCTGCTGTAAGAACAGCTCCCCGGATATTTTTTTATTTATCTCAGTTATAGCTGAGTTTTGTCTCTACTGCTTTTCTCAGTTGGTATAACTGCGTGAATGTGCTGGACATGGATAACATACAAGATATCACACAAGCGATGCAGGAATTCAAATTTGAAGCTTTTCCTCAGGAAATCATACAAGATATCCTATTTAGGCTACCCGTTAAATCTCTGATCAATTGCACCTCAGTGTGCAAGGCATGGAGGTCCATGATCATGAACAAAACCTTTATCCGCGCCCACTTAAGCCTAACAGTCGATTTTGCTAACCAGGATGACATTGACCTCCTCCTACTCCACATAATTTCTGGTAGCAATAGCCTCAACTACCACCAAAACACAGTCGTTCACAAGGTGAAAGACGAGGTTCACTATGTGCATCATGATAACCAAGCATTTGATGTGTACTCAAAGATCGAATTTCCAATTGCTGCAAAGAAAAACTACGGCAATTCACATCTTCGTGTGGTTGGCACTTGTGATGGGCTAATTTGCCTTGCGATGATGTCCCCTCTTATGCTTACAACTTCATTATATGGAACCCAACCATTAAAAAGTCAGTGACCCTTCCCATGCCTGGTATTACCTTTCAGACGCATGGTGGGTACGATGCTTCTATTGGGTTCGGTTTTGATGCTACAACCAATGACTATAAGGTTGTGCGAGTTGTGACTTTATTGGATTACTATGATGAGAAGTCAACTCTAGCTGAGGTTTATTCCCTAGCCACCGGCACATGGATGAGTCTTGGTTGTGTTTCTCCTGCATGTCTAATAGATAAAGCTGCATCCAGTGCTTTTGTTAATGGGGTTCTTCATTGGCCTGTAGCCTGTCAGACAGATGTTGAATCTTACTATATTATATTGACATTTGATCTGGGCAAGGAGGTGTTCGGTCAGATACCTATGCCGAAGATTATTCAACGGGATTACTATTTGGGATTGCAATTGTCTGTTTCAGATAACAAAAAATCTATTGCTTTGTTCATGAGGCCCAACAATCGTGAAGATTTCTATTGGGATTGTGGGCGTGAAGATTCTGTTCTTGATATATGGGTGATGAAAGAGTATGGCAAAGAGGAATCATGGACCAAATTGATTACTCTCAATCCACAATGTCCAGAAACAATTTTCCTCAGCGCCTTATGTTTTAGGAAGAGTGGGGAAGTACTGTTACTGCTCAAAGAAAAAGAGAAGCAGGAACTAGTATCACTAGACCTTGTGAGCAAACAGTTTAAACTTCTTGGGATTTCTGGATATAAATATTGTACTGGTCATTTTTATAAAGAGAGCCTCCTCTTACTCGACAAGAGCGATGCAGAGTCATACCAAGAGAAAGAACAGGTAATGTGATTGTTGTGCTGAGAGCAGAACATTTCAATTCTTTGTTTGCCAGGTTTTTATGTTCATTAAAAGCATGATTGATGACTTAATTGATGTGGGATATTTCTTATGTCAGACTTGTTGTGGGTTCTTTCTTTTAGCTGATTGTCTTTCTCGCTTATGTTGCTAGAACACAACTTGTGAGTAAAGTCAACACAGCTCTCATGGAGACTCAATTTGGATATCAAAAAGTTAAAAACAGTGTAATTATAATTTATAATAATATCGACTCAGCTCTCATGTAAACACGATTAGACTGGTCTTTTATGTACTCTTAGTCTTGGTCAACTTGGTATGACTTTAGACTTTTGACTGATTGCTGCTACTTTAGTGAAGTCTGTGTATTCAATTTGCATGGTTTTGTTTGCTGCTTTAATCCCTTTTCCAATATTTTCATTTGTACATTAGTTTCTTTTCCAATTTAGCTTTCATTTGTGTAAGCATGAAGAGGAAATTTGATTTGCACTCCTGAAGAAGTACTGGGAAAAGTTTTCATGACAAGTGAAGTCAACTCTAATGCTTAACAATTGATTAACGCAGCACTTTTCTTGTTTTCTTTTGTTGCAGATTTTTAGTGCAGCAATGTTGTTTGCCGAAAGTGCCTGACGTGCCTAATGCCTGATGCCTGATGCCTGATGTGCATCAATGTCCGTTTCTTGTTATCTATCTTGCTGATGTATTTTTGTTTTCTTGTTCATTTTTTGCCGATTTGTAGGGCAGTAGTGTCCTATGCCTGAAGTGCCTGATGTTTCTGTGTATTTACTTGGCCTGGAACATGTTATCTAGTAGTTCTTGAACTATTTATTCTTCAGCTTTTGGGAAGCTTTAATGGAAGTACCTAGTTACAAATTTCATTTGCCTTTGCAGTTCTTTGCACCAGTTTCCATGAAATGCTTTTGCAATTTTCTTTTCCCTGATCTGAACAATTTACAGCAGAATTCACTTTTAATTAAGTAATGAGGGTGAATTGAAATTGTACCCTGTTTTAGTTAACTGCATGCCTGCAACATATGATGGTTGTCTATTTTTGCAATTGCATTCGTTTGAAGACTATTTTTGCAACTCAACCCCCATTCAACATTCGACTCAATAATAATGATTTTTAAATTTCATTAAAATTCCCATAAGCTCAGATAAAGCATCTTGTTTCAGAGGCTAGAGCTGTTTCAGCATTTGAATTAAGAACTAGTCTGCTGTAAGAACATTTTAATTAGGAGTTGAAATCTCTTTTACAGTTTTTTATTGAATGATTTTCCTATAGGGATTTAATTAGGAGTAAAAATCAACTGGATATCATATGCTTGAAACTATAGTCAAAACAATACAACATCAAGCATGTAATAATATACCAAATGCTAACCTATATCAAAGGTTTATTCGAATTTCAAAACCAAGTCCTAATTATTTGACGGAGGAATTAGACCCATAACTACAATAAAACAAGCCGATTAAGTACGAAAATCCCTATTCACCTCCACATCCACCTCCGCAGCCACCTCGACGACCACTGCCACTAGTGCCACTACTAGGTGCACACTACGAACAAGTCCAAGCATATAATCTGGTTTCATTTCTCTTAACAGTTTTACCAGCGTGATGATATACTGGAGGAAGAATAAGCTGGCTATTTGGTACATTGAAAGGCAATTTGTAACCTTTTTTTTAACCTTTCTTATGGATTCGGATTGGATTTTAGTACTTCTAATTTTCCGACTAAAAATTGTATACAAATGTTACTCTGCTGTAAGAACAGTTCCTTCCCTTGATATTTTGTTTTCTCAATTATAGCAGAGTTTTGTCTTCATTGCTTTTCTCAGTTGGTATAACTATTTGAATGTACAAGACATTGATAACATAAAAAATGTCAGACAAGGGATCAAACTGAAAATTGAAGCCATCGCACGCTCTTCAAAATAAAATAAAATGATGGTTTGGCTTTAGTGTTAGTTTTTTTTGGCCCTGATGGGTTTGGAGTTTTGATTGACAGAGTATGATCATGAACATGAACAAAAGCTTCATCCGCGCCCACTTAACCCTAACAGTCGATTTTGCTATCCAGGATGACATTGACCTCCTCCTACTCCACATAATCTCTTGTGACAGTAGCAGCACCTTCGGCCACAAAACGATCGTTTCTGAGATACAAAAAACTTCTCACGACCAAAGGTCATCTATGCCGGCGAAATTTGATGGATTAGAAGAGTACCGCTGCTCGGCTGTACAATTTCTTTTAAAAAAATTTAAAAATCCAAGTACAACTTAGAATTTTGTGTATAATAGTGAATTTTATGTCTTATTGAATTTTTTTATACCAAATACGTGTATTAAACACTTAAAATACGTATAATACTATTTTTCCTTCATTAACTGAACCTCAACAGTAGCAGAGTCTAGCCGTACGGCTATACTGCTTCTCTCAAAAAAACAAAAAATCCAGGTATGGCCGCACGGCTATACGTTAGAGGCAAGCCGTTCGGCTAGACTATTTTTTTAAAAATTAGGAAATTTTTTAAAACCTATTATTCAAAGATCATCTCTACAAAAAATCACTTGAATCCGATATCATTTGACCACTCAATTGAGTTATTGAAATTTTAGTACTTTCTTGAAGCACCGTGTTCATTGATTTTGTAAAACACAATTGGATATCGAAACGGTTTCAGATTTGTCTAATTTTTTGTAAGGATGATCTAGGAATGAAGACCTAAAAAATAGATGGTTTGGATCATTGGGAAAAAAATTATATGGTATCCTAAAGGACGTCCCTCAAATAAAATTATTTGAGGGATCCCTTAATAGAAGGGGACTGTATATATATAAACAGACACCCACACAGTGTAAAGAAAAGTTAAAGCCAAGTGTCTGTAAAATTAGGGGCAAACCGAGTATAGCTGTGCGGCTATACAATTTTTATTTTAAAAAAATAAAAAATCCGAGTATGGCCGCTCGGCCGTACTATTTTGGCACACTACAACTTAAAAGTCTAGCCACTATATTATATTTTAATATAAATTTTTAAATATATATCATTTTTATTCAATAATGCGTGTGAATTGTGTCGATAATATGTGGATTTTGAGTGCCTTATTGAAATTTTTGTAAAAAATATACATGTATAATACGAGAATTGTACATTTGGTTTTCAAAGACTTGGGCCTTCGGGCTCTTGAGCTCTTGAGCTCTGGGGAAATCTAATTAAGACAACCAAACGGAATAAGTAATTTATTTTTTTGACGTCCATTGAACTTCAAGAACTCACTATTTATTAAGTCATTTGTGAAATCAATAACATATTTAAATATGGACTAAAGAAATAATAATCAAAACATAATTACTAATTAAAATAATTCAAAAAGGCTAAGATATTACTTAATTAAATATATTAATTAAAAGAAGTTGGCCCAACAAACAAAATTAAAGAAACAAAATTTATTTATTTTTTCCCCAAATTAATGCAAAAAAACCTCTCCCGGCGGAATTTGCCGGATTAGCAGAGTATAGCCGCACGGCTATTACTATTTCTCTCCAAAAAAATAAAAATCCGGGTATAGCCGCCCGGCTGTACTCTTTTGCCACAGTACAACTTAGAATTTTGTGTATAATACTTGAATTTTATGTCTTATTGAAATTTTTATGCCAAATACTTGTATTAAACACAAAAAAATACGTATGTACCTGTCTAATACTATTTTTGCAACACTAACTGAAGCTCGATTCAACATTAGCAGAGTCTAGCCGCACGGCTATACCATTTTTTAAAAACATTAAATATCCGAGTATAGCCGCCCGGCTATACGTTATATAAATATAGAAAAGGACATCCCAGCGCCTAAGTTCCACGTGTCAAAGAAAGTGAAGCCGTACTATTTTTTTTAAAAAAAGGAAATTTTTTAAAACCCGGTATAGCCGCCCGGCTATAGGATTTATATATATTTAAAAAAAGGCGCTCATTTCCTATGCGCCACGTGTCAAAAAGGGTAAAGCCAAATGTCTATACCATTTTTACAAATTTATAAATAAATCCAATTCTAGACATGTATTTATAAAAAAACTCAAACACTATTTAAACATAGAAATACACCCAAAATCAACTCCAAAGTCAACTTTTCGGGTGTGTTTATAAATGAGTTTTAAGTGTGTGTAATGATGGGTTTTGGGTGTGTTTATATGTTTAAATAGTGTTTGAGTTTTTTTATAATTTCAACCCTTATTTTGGGTGTTTTAGTAAAACTCCCTACTATTTTCGAAAAAACCGAATATAGCAATCAACATATAAATAGCGAAACAGAGGTCCCTCCCTCTGATCCGTTAGGGTTCTACTCTTTTCTTCTTCACTCTTCTTCCCTAACACGGCACAACGAACGAGAGGCTGCATCAGGACCCAAAACTGTAAGTTCCTAAAGTTTATCTTTCCTTCTTCTGGGAATTTTTTAAGAGCTTTTTTCTTCGATAAAAATGACGGGTTTGGCTTTAGTGTTAATTTTTTTTTTTCCTGATGGGTTTGGATTTTTGATTTATTGAATGGAGATTGGGTTTGATCTTAAAAATATGACATTTAGGGTTCTTGTTGTTCCCCTTTTTTTGTTTTAATTTTATAGTTTATGTATATGAATGTTACTCTGCTGTAAGAACAGCTCCCTTTGATTTTTTTTTCTTCAATTATAGCTGAGTTTTGTCTCTATTGATTTTCTTTATCAGTTTGTATAACTATTTGAATGTGCAAGACATGGATAACATACAAGATATCACACAACTGATATACACATTCAAAGTTGAAGCTTTTCCTCAGGAAATAATACATGAGATCCTATTTAGGCTACCAGTTAAATCTTTGATCAATTGCACCTCAGTGTGCAAGCCATGGAGGTCCATGGTCATGAACCAAAGTTTTATCCACGCTCACTTCAGCCATACAGTCGACTTTGCTAATCAGAAGGACATTGACCTCCTCCTATTCCACAAAATTTCTGGTAGTGGGAGCACCATCTACTGCCACAACACAGTCATTCACGAGGTAGAAATCGAGGTTTACTCTTTGCATTATGATAATAAGGCTTTTGATGTGCACTCCGAGATAGAATTTCCAATTGCTCCAAAGAAAAAACTGCTCAATCCACATCTCCGTGTGGTTGGCACTTGTAACGGGCTAATCTGCCTTGCGGATGATATCTCCGCTTATGGTTATAACTTCTTTTTATGGAACCCAACCATCAGAAAGTTATTGACTCTTCCCGGGCCTGGTATTACCTTTTGGACGCATGGTGCATACAATGCTTCGATTGGGTTCGGTTTTGATGCTATGACCAATGACTATAAGGTTGTGCGACTTGTGACTTTAATGGATGAAGTTGAGAGGCCAACTCTAGCTGAGGTTTATTCCCTAGCCACGGGCACATGGAGCAGTCCTGCTTGTGTTTCTCCTACATGTCGAATAGAAATGGCTGCATCCAATGCTTTTGTTAATGGAATTCTTCATTGGCCTGTAGTCTCAAACGGCAATCATTGCTATTTTATACTGACATTTGATCTGGGAAATGAGGTGTTCTGTATGATACCTATGCCGAAGATTATCCAATGGAACTTCAATTTGGGATTGCGATTATCTGTTTCAGATGACAGAAAATCTATTGCTCTGTTCATGAGGGATAAGGGTCATGAACGTCCTCATGAAAATTTCATGATAAATAATAGTCGTGAAGATTCTGTTCTTGATATATGGGTGATGAAAGAGTATGGTAGAAAGGAATCATGGACCAAATTGATTACTCTCAGTCCACAAGGTCCAGAAAGCCATTTACCCAGCGCCTTATGTTTTAGGAAGAGTGGGGAACGGTTTAGGAAGAGTGGGGAACCGTTTAGGAAGAGTGGGGAACCGTTTAAGTTTGGGGAACCGTTTAGGAAGAGTGGGGAACTGTTACTGCTCCGAAAGGAACGGTGGCAGGAACTAGTAGTATCACTAGACCTTGTGAGCACACAGTTTAAAAATCTTGGGATTGGATATAAATATTGCACTGTTGATTTTTATAAAGAGAGCCTCCTCTTACTTGACAAGACTGATGCAGAGTCGTACTAAGAGAAAGAACAGGTATTGGTTTTCAAGAACAGTTTAATTATTTGTTTGCCAGGTTTTTATGTTATGATTGGTGACTAAATTGCTGTGGAATCCTTATTATGTCGACTTGTTGTGGGTTCTTTGTTTTAGCTGATTGGCTTTCTCGCTTCTGATGCTAGAACACAACTTGTGACTGAAGTCAACACAGCTCTCATGGAAACTCAATTTGGATATCAAAAAGTTAAAAACAATGTAATTATAATAAATATCAACTCAGCTCTCATATAAACACGGTTAGACTGGTCTTTTATGTGCTCTTAGTTTTTGACTTATATAATATGGTATGACTTTAGATGGTAGACTGATCGCTGCTACTGTAGTGAAGTCTGTATTCAATTTACATGTTTATGTTTGGTGCTGTAATAGATTGTGCAGTAGTTCATGCTTTAATCCCTTTTCCAATGTTTTCATTTGTACAATAGTTTCGTTTCCAATTTAGATTTCATTTTTGTAAGCATGAAGATGAAGTTTCATTTGCATTCCTGTAGAAGTACTGGGAAAAGTTTTCATGACTAGTGATGTAAACTCCAATGCTTAACAATTGATTAACGCAGCATTTTTCTTGTTTTCTTTTGTTGCATATTTGTAATGCAGTAACGTTGTTTGCCCAAAGTGCCTGATGTCCATTTCTTGTTATCTATCATGCTGATGTATTTTTGTTTTCTTGTTTCTTTTGTTACCGATTTGTAGGGCAGTAGCGTCCTATGCCTGAAGTGCCTGATGTTTCGGTGTATTTAGTTGACATGCCTGATGTCACTATTTATTATTCTTCAGCTTTTGGAAAACTTTAATGGAACTAATGGAAGTATCTAGTTACAAATTTCAATTACCTTTGCAGTTTGAAACTCTGCACCAGTTTCCATGAAATGCTTTTGCAGTTTTTTGTTTCATTTTTATTGCATAGTTTTCCTGAGCTGAACAATTGACAGCTGAATCCACTTTTAACTAAGCAATGAAGGTGATTTGAAATTGTACCCGCTTTTAGTTAACCGTATGCCTGCAACGCCTTCTCCAATGGCCCTCATTCGATTGCAACTTGCAAACAGCATATGATGGTTGTCCATTTTTGCAATTGCATTTGTTTGAAAAAACTGCTCAATCCACATCTCCGTGTGGTTGGCACTTGTAACAGGCTAATCTGCCTTGCAGATGTTATCTCCGCTTACGGTTACAACTTCTTTATATGGAACCCAACCATTAGAAAGTTTGTGACTCTTCCCGGGTGTTGTTACCTTTTAGACGCATGGTGCATACAATGCTTCTATGGGAGTAGAGAAATACTGACGTGACTTGCAAGGTTTGTCTACTCCCTTGCATTGCATTATCCGTTAAGAGCTGATTGAGTTATTTAGCAAGGGTGTTTATTGATTTGATTATCAACAATTATATGACTTTTTTTGGGACTAGAACCATAATGGATTATGAAAAATGCACCCGTCATCTGACTTGTAAAAACACAATAAAAGTGTGCATGAGTTTCCATAAGAAACTAAACAAAACCTGCTTTCTTGTTGGTGCCCCAAAACAGTGGAGATCCATATTCAAGTAGGATGTCATTGAAGAAATATATTTGCTTGAATGCATGTGCAATGTGAAGAACATTGATGTCTTTGGGTGTTTTCTTATAAAGAACATGTGGTAATTCCTCACCATCTTTAATCCTTCTAAACAAATCCGCATCACCCAATGTTGTCGCCTCATACACCAAACGATCCATGGTTTTGAACTATCTCAAACTTGCTCAATGTAGCACATAAAGCAGCAATGCACTGTAGAGGATTGTTTGTGAACCGTGCTTAACATCCGAGGCAATAAATAAATCTACACAAACTTGGTCCTAATTACTTGTCATGAAAACAGTATTATAATCTGTCACATTTTACTTCTACTAGTGTACCAAAAGTAGAGGTGTCAAACGGGTTGAGTCGGTTCAACATGAGACGAGTAAGCAATACTAGGCACGTCACGAAAGCTTATGCCAGATTTAAAAATTAGATCCAACAAACCAAGTCGGCCCGCAGCTTGCTATAAGCCCGGCCTGAGCCCGAACCTGACCCAAGCCCACTCTAAGCCCGACATGAACCCACTTAATTAATTATTATTATTATTTTTTTTTTGTAATTCCACTCTCTAATTCAAATTTCCTTTTTTTCCTTCTTTGGTCGACAAGACAATAAGTCATTTTGCTTTATTGAAGAAATTAGCAAACAAAAATTGGGTTTACTTGAAACTTTACACCAGAGAACAATATCAACAAATAGCATCGACATGTGAATGGGCCTGGGGGAAGAAAAACGGGAGCTTCTACAATGAGGAGTTAAAGTGAGGAGACCGATTCGACCGTCAAAACATTTAAAATATTTAAGTCCCATGATTTCTTTATATTTGTTGATGGTGAGATTTGACCTCCTCAAATAACCTCCTCGCTTTAAGCTCTCATTATAGCATTTCCGGAGAAAAACACCGAAGGGGCCTGTGGAGATAAAGTTACATTACAGAAACCAAGCGGTCCAAGAAAAAGAAGGGGTCAAAATATAAATTAGACAGAATTATGGCGAAAAATGAAAATTTCGACAATAAAAAATTGTTCCCGCGAAGCTTATCCAGTTCGTAAACCCATAAACTTTCATCAAGCTTTTAATTTGGTACGGAGCTTTTAGACGTAGGCAGGCAATCTCAGGCTCAGCATATAAATAGAGAAGAGAGGTCCCTATGATCTGTTAGGGTTTGGGCCGGCGACTCTCTCTCCCCTCACTATCATGTACGGAAAATAATGTCTTAGAAGCTTGGGTTCTACGCTTTTCTGCTTCACTCTTCTTCTCTAGCACAGCACATGCACAAGAACGAGACGCTTCCTCAGATTCGGCTCTGCTCATCAGGACCAGAAATTGTAAGTTGCTGAACTTTTTCTCTTCTTTTTCTGGGATTTTTTTAGAGCTTTTCTGTTTCGAATGTTGGGTTTGGATTTAGTGTTAGTATTTTCCTGCTGGGTTTGGATTTTTTATTTGTAGAGTGGATGTTGGGTTTTATCTGAAAAATATGACGCATCCTTTCGTTTTTGATTTGTAGATTCGATGTTGGTCCTCAATACTGGATCTTTTTAGTTTTAGTATTCTCCTGAGTTACTCTGCTTTCAGAACAGCCCCATGATTTTTATTTTTATTTTATACTCAATTATAGATTTTTTTTTTTTTCTATTGTTTTATCAGTTGGTATAACTGTTTGAATGTGAAGGACATGGAAGACATACAAAATATCACACAAGGGATGCACGAATTGAAATTTGGAGAGATGGCAGGCTCTTTTCCTCAGGAAATCATACAAGAGATCCTAATTAGACTGCCCGTTAAATCTCTGATCAAATGCACCTGTGTGTGCAAGACATGGAAGTCCATGATCATAAACCCAAGCTTTATTCGCACCCACGTCAGCCCAGCAGTCCAGTTTGTTAACCAGAATGACATTCACCTACTACTCCACAGAGTTTCTGGTTTGCAGATGACCACCTTCTTCGGCCAAAAGGTCATGTACAAGGTAAATGACGAGGTTCTCTCTGTGCATTATGATAACCAGGCTTTTGACCACTACTCCAAGATAGAATTTCCAGTTGCTACCCAGGGAAAAAAGCACAACTCATATATTCGTGTGGTCGGCATTTGTGATGGGCTATTCTGCCTTGCGGATGATATGTTCCGTTATTGTTACAACTTCTTCATATGGAACCCAGCCATTAGAAAGTTAGTGACCATTCCTTGGCCTAATGTTAGATTTGATACGCATGCTGGGTACGATGCTTCGATTGGATTTGGTTTTGATGCTACAACCAATAACTATAAGGTTGTGCGAGTTGTCACTTTATTGGATCAACACGGGACACCAACTCTCGCTGAGGTTTATTCCCTGGCCACCGGCACATGGACCAGTCTTGGTTGTGTTTCTCCTACCTGTCTAACAGACGGACGTGCATCCAGTGTTTTTTTCAATGGGGTTCTTCATTGGCCTGTATTCTGTAAGACAAATGGTGATCTTTACTATTTTATATTGACATTTCACCTGGGCAAGGAGGTCTTCCGTAAGATGCCTATGCCGAAGATTATCAAATGGAAATTCGACTTGGGAATGCAATTGTCTGTTTCAGATAACAGAAAATCTATTGCTCTGTTCACGATGGATAACAGGTTTGAAGATTCTTTTCTTGAGATATGGGTGATGAAAGAGTATGGCATAAAGGAGTCATGGACCAAATTGATTACTCTTGGTCCACAAGGTCCAGAGAGACTTTTACCAAGGGCCTTATGTTTTAGGAAGAGTGGTGAAGTACTGGTGCTTCTCACTGACAAATCAAGGCAGGAACTAGTATCACTAGACCTTGAGAGCAAACAGTTTAAAAATCTTGGGATTTCTGGATATCAATATTGCAATGTTGGTTTTTATAAAGAGAGCCTCCTCTTACTCGACAAGAGCAATGCAGAGTCTTACTAAGAGGGAGAACAGGTAATGTTATTATACTGTTGAGAACAGAACATTGCTTTTCAAGAAAATTTTAATTCTTTGTTTGCCAGATTTTTATGTTCATTAAAAGCCTGATTGGTGAATAAACTTATTGGCGTTCTTTGTTATGTTTTGACTTGTTGTGGGTTCTTTTTGTCAGCTGATTGTCTTTCTTGCTTCTATTGCTAGAACACAACTTGTGACTAAAGTCAACTTAGCTCTCATGTAAACTCATTTTGGATATCAAAAAGTTGAAGACATTATAATTATAATAATATCAACTCAGCTCTCATGTAAACACGGTTAGACTGGTCTTTTATGAGTTATTTTAGTTTTTGACTTATGTGACAACAACTTAGTATGACTTTAGTCGGTGGACTGATGATGCTTGCTGCTACTGTTATGAAGTTTGCGTATTCATTTACATGGTTTAATTTGCTGCTGTAATAGGATTGTGCAATAGTTCATTCATTAATTCCATGTCCAATGGTTCTCATTTGTAAAATAGGCCCTTTTACAATTTAGCTTTCATTCATGTAAGCATGAAGAGGAAGTTTCGTGCTTAAGCATTGATTAACCTAGTACTTTTCTTGTTTTCTTTTGTTGCAGATTTGTAGTGCCACAACGTCCTCTACCCGATGTGCCTGATGCGCAATAACGCCATTCTCTTGTTATCTCATATGCTAACATATTTTTGTTTTCTTGGTTATTGTGTTGCAGATTTGTAGGGCAGTAGTGTTTTATGCCTGATGTGGTGGTGTATTTACCTAGTATGGAACTTGTTATCTGTAGTGCTGATATGCTTTCTGTAGTAGTTGTTGGACTATTTATTCTTCAGCTTTTGAAAAACTATAATGGAACTATGGAAGTATCTATCTAGTTACTAATTTCATTTGGCTTTGCACCAGTTTAAATGCTTCTGCAGTTTTCTCGTATTTTTTTGTGTAATTTTTCCCGAGCTCAACGATTGACAGTAGAGTTCACTTTTAAGCGACAAAGGTGGCAAAATTATACAAGCTACCAGAAGAAGGGATCAAAATGAAATCAGACAGGAATTATGGCGATAAAATGAAATTTCTACAACAAAATTGTTCCTGGAAAAGCTTTTGCAATTCATAAACCCTCAATTATAAACCCAAAGATGAACCATAGATAAACTTTAATCAAGCTAAATCCAAACCCAAATAAAATATGAAACTTAAAACTAGAATTCGGGAAATCCGGAAAAAGAGAAATCTTACTAGAATTTGAAAAACTAGAGAATCTAGGAAACTAATAAATTGGGTTTAGTTGAAACTTGAAACCAAGAAACAATAACAAAAAATAGCATCGACATTTCCATCGATCGCTCAAACATTCCAATACAGGTTTTGAAGCATGAACTCAAAGCATATTTGGTTAATTTCACATTCAAAATGGCATAAGTTAGCTGCTAATGGACATCAAAGTTGTGTTGTACAATTTATCTATGTGGAAAAATTGGAAAAATGCAAAATCAAGCAATCTCATCAAGACAAGTTTAGGGTCCACTTTTCCATTTCCTTCATTTCGATGATCAATGCTAACCCATGCCATCTTGGAAGTTAATGATGTTAATTATCAGGCAATTTTGAATTTAATTATAAACCCATCTCACATGTCTCTCATCAATGCTAAACCCATGCCATCATTTTGATCAATGCTAAACCATGCCATCTTAAAACATGTTATTGTACAAACTCTATAAATTCAGAGCAATGCAGCTCCATGGAACGTACAAACAACTTCCCAGCAATAATCAATAAGCAATACATCGTTTCGTCAATCGATCAGCTATGAATTTGAGCACGAAAAACCGCATTCAAAAGGAGCTTAAAGATATTAAGAAGGACCGTAACCCTTTGTACAAAGCAGTAAATACAGTAAAAGATAACATTTATCATTGGCATGCCACAATTATGGGACCTCCTGAGAGCCCATATGAAGGAGGTTTTTTTAAGCTTGATATTGAATTTCCCTCTAGTTATCCATTTAAGCCCCCAAAGGTGAAGTTTATTACCAAAGTGTACCACCCAAATATCAATAGCAATGGAAGCATTTGCCTCAACGTCCTAAAAGACGAATGGAGCGCTGCCCTTACCATCCCTAAGGTGTTGATCTCAGTCATGTCCTTGCTGACTATACCTAACCCTGACGACCCTCTCGACAAGGATGTCGCCCACGTCTACAAGACGGATCTACAGGCCTACAACGCCACTGCAAGGGCATGGACTCTCAGGCATGCGCAAAA